ATAAAACTGCTAAGAAAATCCGATACCTTCAAAGAAAGTGCCATTTTCCAAACTTTTCCAAAATCCTCAAAAGAAATCTCAAATGCTGGTCTGAATGCCGTTATATCTTTGTATGGAGGAAAAACAGGAGACAGCACATTACCTGATATGAAACTTCGAACTTTCACTTCAGGAGGCAACAAAATCAACAATCTATGTCAAGTTTTGTCTCCTACAGAGAATGCAAGCAAATTTCATTCCTTCAGGGTATATCATCAAGTGTAGGTTGCTTTGAACAGATTGACAGGATGGTTAGTGGGTCATGACATGGATATTTCAACAGAAAAAAACCAAAGCTACACTCATCAAAAAAGTCTAGGGAACAAGAAATATTCGTCTTTTACTTTTTAGACAGAATAACTATTTTTTAAAAGATACCATATGGGTATTTGTTGAACAAATCTTGTAGAATTTATCATATCGGCTTTTTCAGCAGGCTTTAACAAAATTTAAAAATCTTTTAAAAGTATATTTTGTTCAATTTATAAATGTATTCAGTTGCATCTTGTTCCCTAGACTATTTTGATGTGTGTATTTTGTTTTTCAAGGGTAGCAGAAATAATCCAATACCAAATATAAGGGTTGGGTGTCATATTGATTATTGAACAGGAAGTTGAAGTGGAACAACCACATTGAATATGTGATTAACAAAGCGCAGAAAGGAATTAACATAATGAGAGCAATTACAAGAACTTGGTGGGGCGCTGACCCAAATAAGTATATTGTTGAACATTTGTAAAGGGCTAGTTAGAACCCATTTTGATTATATGTACCATATAGACAAGATAAATTCTAACAAAATGGATCGCATTCAGTACCAGGCCTTGAGAGTGGTGATTGGCTGCATGAGAAGTACTCCTATAATGGCGTTGTTATCTGAAGCGGCAGAAATGCCATTGATAAAGTGAAGGAACCTACTTAGTACAAAATTGATGCTTAGAAAAGTAACCATTAGAGGGGACGAAATCAATAGGGTAATACTCAACTTCTATGCTTGTTACAATCAGGATCCTCTTTATTGGCGGACCAAGTGTGCTCCGGCGGTAATGGAGGGGGTGGATTATGTGTTGGCGCACATAGGAATATTGAAAAGAAGAGACAATCTGCCATGTTTCGAAGAGGATATCACAACTCAACTGCAGAAAATAGACTGGGTGGATTCGAATATACAAAAGTTCAGCCAACTTTAATTACAGGAGTTATTGGAGAAATATTCGGATCACGAAAAAATATATACAGATGTATCTTTGGAGCCAATATCAACACATTGTGGAATTCGAATATACAACAACAACAATAATAGGGAAATACCAGGATCTAACCAACATTTGTTCAGCAGAGGTGCTAGCCATATACAGGGTGCTACAAATTGGAGTGCATGCATGGGGATATCGGAAACCATAAGAGATACAAGGTTGGTTAAATTATTGCAAAGTTGCGCAATTTTATGACCAATAATTAAAATTTGAAAAATTCCGAAAATATTTGGAAAAACCCGAAATTTTGCAAAATCATTTTTATTTTTTCCTGAGTCTATTTGAAGAGCAATTTCAAAATAAATGTCACTTCATCACAGTGGCGCACCCAGGGGGGAGGGGCCATCGGGCCAGGGCCCCCCCCAGGCCGCCCCTCCAAAACTTTATTTTTAGGTATAAAAAAATGTGGCACATTCCAGGCGTGGCACCCTGACACCTCAATTTTTTTTTCAGATTTTCAGTCACAAGCTACAACCTATGTAGTCCCCCCTCCCCCAACATATTTTCTGGGTGCGCCTCTGTTCCTGGAAAAAAATCAAAAATTAGGCCACAATCTGTATCGTAAAATATCACTTAGTGTCTCTTTGAGATTAAAAAATCGGAGATCCGCTATCTTTGGCTTCTTTCCAATCAAATTTTGGTATGTTAAAGCTAAAAAGCTTCCATATACAGGGTGTCCCACGAGGTTTTGCCCAAATTCGGAACGCACCATCATATGTTCCACTGTATAATTTTTTATCATTTTCTTTAACAAAGCCTTAACAAATATGGCATTGCCGATTTTGTAATTTAATTTTCTAAAGAAAAATGCCATAATATACCATGAGTTACATTTAACATTCTAAAGTTGACGTCACTTGACTTAAATTGAAGCGAAAGTGGTGAAATTGGATGACAATGGTAGATGCGGCACAAAAAGTTACCCAGATTTTCAAAACTTCAATTATATTGGATGACGTGTTCCGAAGTTATTACCTGGGAAAAACGTCGTGGGATACCCTGTATAGAAAAAATTGATCATTTTCCAGATTTCTAGGAAAAAAATCTGAAATCAGGCCATAGTCTGTATTGTAAAAATATCACTTGACACTTAGTGTCTCTTTGGAATTAAAAAATTCGTAATTTGGTATTTTCTAATCAAATTTTGGTAATTCTTCATTTTCCAAAGTTTCCCAGATTTTTAGGAAAAAATCAAAAATCAGGCTATAAACTGTATTATAAAAATATCACTTCTCTGGGAGTAAAAAAACGTAATTCCGCTATCTTTGGTTTTTTCGTATCAAATTTTGATATGTTAAAGCTAAATAGCTTCTGGATATTTAAAAAATTCTTCATTTTCCAAAGCTTCCTAGATTTCTAGGAAAAAGATCAAAAATCAGGCCATAGTATGTATTGTAAAAATATTACTTAGTGTCTCTCTGGAATTAAAAAAATCGTGACACCGCTATCTTTGGTTTTTTTCTAATCAAATTTGGGTATGATAAAGCTCAAAGTCTTCTGGATATTTGAAAAAAAAATCTTCATTTTTCAAAGTTTCCCAGATTTCCTGGAAAGTGACGCACCAAAACTGAATTTTCACGTATAAAAAAATGTAACAAATTCAGGGCGTGGCACTTTGACTTTTTTTTTTCAGTCACAAGGCACAACCTATGTAGGGCCCCCCCCAAATATATTTTCTGGGTGCGCCACTGCTTCATCATTGTCACTTTTTTCCCTTTACAAGATGTTGCTATCAAATTTCAGATTCGACGTTTTGCTTTTGGGCGGCCATCATCGACTTCGTTTTTCTAAATACGGGCCTGAATTTTTTATTTCAGATTTTTAGAGCTTCTGATGTCCCAAAACCTATGACGTATCGCATTTATTCGAAAAATTATTTTTATTACTTTTTAGCAATTTCCTACCAAAATTCTCTTCTCTGTCTCTTTCTAACACATTAAGTTCTTATGGAAAGTGCCAATAATATAAATTTTTCGAATAAGTGCAATATCTCATTGGTTTTGGGCGATCAGAAACTCTTAAAATCTGAAATAAAAAATCCAGGCCCGTATTTAGAAAAACGAAGTTGATGATGGCCGCCCAAAGACGAAACGTCGAATCTGAAATTTGGTAGCAACATCTTGTAAAGGGAAAAAAGTGACAATGATGAAGTGACATTTATTTTGAAATTACTCTTCAAATAGACTCAGGAAAAAAAAATAATGATTTAGCAAAATTTCGGTTTTTTTCCGAATATCTTCGGAAGTATTCGGAATTTTTCAAATTTCAAAACGGAATTTTATTGGTCATAAAATTTGCGCAACTTTGCCATAATTTAACCAACCTCGAATCTCTTACGGTTTCCAATATCCCCATGCATACACTCCAATTAGTAGCACCCTGTATACGGCCCTCAATGCGTTAAATATTGAACACAAGAAAAGCTGTTTCAATATCATGTTATTTTGAAAATTTTCAGAGATGGCATCAACAGAGGGACCGATAGAATCACGTTGACAACGAGGAAGAAAATATTAGATATGCAGGACAGAGGAAAGGAAATCAAAATACTGTGGGTGGTTCGTTATACAGGTATAATAGGAAATGAAAAGGCAGATAAGTTGCTGGAAGAGGCCGAGAGGCAAATAATGATATCAACAGAACAATACACTATGATGATTTATTCAGAGTAGCTAAGGAAGAGGCATGGAGGCAATGGGCCGTGGAATTTACCAATAAAGGTAGAAATCATTCAAACCAATACTACAAATTAATGAAGAAACCTCAAAGAACACTATGGTTTGCAAAAATTAAAAGGGCTGACAGACAAAAAACCAGTGTTTCACAGAATGAGAACTACACATTGCCTCATACCTAAATACAAACTTGGCAGGACAGCGAGAATTGTGAATGTGGTGATAAAAATCATGTGCTCTTGCACTGTAAGCTAAACATTGTACTAAAAATAATAATCTTTATATAAAATAATATAAAATTTTTATTTTTATATAAAACACACAAAAACCAGAGGTCCGACAGATTGGTTATAGACTTTGGTTGTATTCAAGATTCAACAAGATGGTAGGAGATCATACAGATGGAAGAAATTCTTGAAAACCCAACCAGTAAGGAAGCAGTTATGGTTATGGATTGTATCAAGAAATTTGATATTAGAATCTGAAAATAAGCAGTAGTTCATGGTGACAGTTGTATTGTAGAGTAGGCTATTAGGTGCTAATGCTTATAAAATGTAATTGCTTGTTATATGTTCATTTTTTCAGGCACATATTCTATTTATTCCCATTTCTCTGGCGTTTCCAAATTCCCCACTGTACGCCTCACAGCAGAAAATTACCTAATCATCCCCAATTGAAACCTTAACTATTGACAAGTGGGGTAACCCTACCTTGATGCACTAGAGGACACAAGTGATAGGATTCTGGCTGACTGTTGTTTGACGACAAGGGGCCATTGGTAAACAAGAAAAAGAAGATTAGCTAATGTTTGGCGCAAAAAATCGTCCATATCAAGTACAGACAGAAAAAAGTCAACCCTAACTTGACTTATAAAAATTGTTATTTTGTTTAGAAACTGAGCTATGATTTTTGTTCTATAATTTTGAAACATCTCTTTTCACAAGGCCCTGGAAAATTGTTCAAAACATCCACATGTTATCAAATTCCCAATACAATACAGTTTAAAACATAATTAGTTAAAATGTCTTACCGGAAAATCAATAGGATTATTATCTTCAGGATACATATTGGGTGGTCTCATCCCAAACTCCAACCCATTTCCGCCCCATTTGGCCTGCTTATCCATCACTGACCAATTATTCTGATCCATTTGACTGTTATAAGCCTTCCTGGCCCTCTCTGTACCAATTGGCTGAGGTTTTCTCTCTTCCATACCATAGTGATCCGGGTGCATTCCGGCCATGTTGGGCGACATATTTGGCGAATTGTTCACAATTCCCGCCAGCTCCGAACCGTTTTCGAACCCTTCAGCGCAACAAACTTTGGCTTGAAGTGTTTGAATTGTCATGCCTGCTAAACCGCTTATCAACTCGTTTTGGGTAAACGAAGGTTGCGGTATCCAAGATCTATTTTGCCCACTTAAACCAGAATTTCTATTATAAGCCATATCCATATTAGCCTTATTAGTATTGGGAAACATATTATTTTGCATGTTCATTTGAAAACCGTTATACATTTGAGGGTTTTTGTTGGGCATTGAATTGTAAACTGAACTAGAATATTCTGGAGCTTTAGGATTTAAACGGCTCATGCTGGGAGGTTGCTGGATGTTTACTTGCGGCTGTGGCTGGGAAAAGTTCAAACCTTGGATGGCGTTGAAGTTTTGCAACAGTTGCGCATCATTGCTCATATTAATCAATGTAGGTAATGTTGGTTTGTTAAAGTCCATAAAAGGAATAAAATCGTTGTTGTTTTGCTGGGGTCTAGACCCAATAGGTGGTAAAGTGTTTTGTTGCTTCGAAGGTTCCTGATAAGGAAAAGAATTGCCCGAATTGGATAGATTTGGCGGAGTAGTACTGTTGCTACTAGTCTTTGAAGAAACAGGAGAACAAACTGCCATGCCTCTATATCCTGGAGCTTTAGTCACATCTACTTGTGGAGGTGGTTCTTGATCGATAAACTTGTGTTGCTGATTGGAGCTTTGATTACTAGCCCCTCCTGCAACTGAAGCAAAATTGGGCATCTTTTGTTGCTCTTGTTCTCTTCTATCCCAATAATCTCTAGGTCTGAAAAGGGTGTATTCTGAAGTAGGTTGCACAGGAGGATGAGATACTTCTTCTTGAGGTTGTTGCACATGTTGTTGTTGTACATGCATATTACTAACAGTAGTAGAAACACTAATGGTAGACTCACTAACTGTAGTAGTAGGAGTTGTTTGCACCATATTGCCAAAAGTGGTTTGCGTTTGTTGCTTACAAACCGGAGGTTGGTAGTGTTGCATTGTAGGAGGAGCAGAACCAGTAGGTTCAGGCCTGATACTTTTTCTAGGTGAATTTGGTGGTTGCGGTGGCGAAATCGGACCTGCATTTGAAACGTTAGGTATTCCAAGGACACTCCTAGGTTTTACTATCATTGCATTAGCTTGTACAGTTTCAGTCAGCTTGGCGGCAAAAGTTTGACTGGCACTGGTAGTGATTATTTTGGCAGGCGAAGGTGCAGTAGACGTAGGCATCCTGACAGTATTCAGCATTTTTTCGGATTGTGCTAGCAATCTAGGGGCAGTAATTCGTGTGCTGGCAACTACGGGCGGAGCTTGCCTGTATTTAACAGGGGCAGTAGTGAATCGTGCGACTGGCTGTTGTTGTATGGTAGGAGCTATCGTTTGAGTGACTTTAGGGTGGAAAGCTTGCGTTGCGATAGGGGATTGGGTGGCAGTGGCTAACTTGCCTGCATTCTTTTTGGTTGCTATTTGTGTTTTATCCCATAAAGTTGTGCTGCTGCTAGTCGTTTTAGCGCTTTTTGGCACTAGTGACATAATATCTACTTCTGGATCTTTAATCAATGTTGTTATTAAGTTGTGAGCTTGTTTGGTTATATCAGTGGAGCCTTTTATAGTGATAATTCTTTCTCCTTGGCCCTTGCTTTGCTTTTCCACTTCTATAAGGGCTCCAGTGTATTGCCTAATAGCATTTATATTGCTTCCACCTCTACCAATGACTCTGGAAATTGCATTCAAAGGTACAGAGACTTTTTTGACTCCACTTTCAGAAACAGCTTGCACTGAAGATTTTCTAACCACTTCTTTCCAGCCCTCTTCACGTTTCGAATTTTGTTTGGGGCTGATGTTTGAACCTTTAGTTGTTGGTTGAGGGATGTGATGGTGGTCTTCTGAAGCTTTCTTATGTTTTGTCGGGTTCACATAAGTCTCGTTGCCTGTGGCTTCAAAATCATCTCTATCAGCTGGAGATTTTGTAGTAGCTTCAAAACTAATGGATTTTGGAGATTTTTCTGGTGCCGGTTGAATATTTTTTCTTGAGGATGTTTTAGTAGGAGATTTAGGTTCTTTTGTTGTCTCAGATTTTTCTGGCGATTCCTTGCTTGTACTGGCAAAAGCAACAGGTTCGTCCTTTTTGGCAATGATGCCGATTTTTTCCTTTTTAGTTTTTTTATTTTTACGCTTCTCCTTGGGAGTCTTGATGTCGTTGCTGGAACAGCTTCCTTGACTATTGGCATCAATACCGCTATCTAGTTCTTCTTTGTCATTGGGGGTAGAAATAGGAGCTTCAGCTACAGTGTCTTCAGCTTCTTCTTTTTCTTCTTGTTTCACGTTATCATCATAGGTTTCATTTTTCTGATTTTCCTCTAACAATTTCTTATGCTGCTCCTTCTTTTCTAGACGCTTCTTCTTTTTCCTTTCTCGTCGTTTGGCTGCTTGCATTTTTTTAGATTCCTCGCGAGTTCTCTCAGATTCCAGTTCCTCCAACAATATAGAAGCATTCTTGTTGGCCCTGGCGGCCTGAGTCTCTTTAGCAGCACGAATTATCCTGACACATTCGTGACATTTTTCCAACAAATCTTTGTCGCTTATAGTGGCAATGTAGCGCATCATTTCTTGATCGCTGGGGAATTGAGTGACGTGAAGCACCATCCATTTGGCTACGCGCACGTGTCCTTTGCGGAAGGCAGCCATCAAACAGGAAACCTTACGGTTGTCTTGCGAATCGATGTCTGCATGATGCCCGTACAACATTTCTATAACCGGGAGATGGCCGCCGTTCGCTGCCAGCCACAAAGGAGAGTTGCCTTTCTTGTTTTTCACTTCTACTTGAGCTCGACGGTCCAGTAGGAGTTCCACGAATTTTACGTGGCCCTTGTCCGCGGCTATTGTAAGGGCAGTGTCTCGAGACGAAGGAACAGGGGTGGCGTTTACATCGGCACCTACAAAAAAAAACAAACAATATTTAAAAACTCGCAATTCTACAGTGAATGACTGCAATTCCCGCGTTAAGCAATTTTTAAATATCATATAATAGGCATGATGACAGATTTTGAAAAACTATCCTAATGTTCGGAAATGTATATTATTTACAACTAGCTGACCCGGCGAACTTCGTACCGCCTCTGAATTATTAAATACCTATTCAATGTTGTGTTAACGTATCTATTAGCTGAATTAAATTCAGTTTTTGGATAATAATAATGAATGAAATAAATATAAAAAAAATGTCCATGTGTGAATTTGAACATTCGGAGAAAAAATTATATGTTTTACATGGCAGAAAAGTAGATTTAATGCCTTGGCTGGTTTCCTAGCCTCGGCTATGAAACACCAGTCACGGCATTAAATCTTGTACTTTTCTGCCTAGTAAAACAAATAACTATTGTAATAATTTGCAGCAATATTGATTGATTATTGAGGTTAACTTAAAAAACGTCAGGGTCAGACCGCGTTCCGCGTTCATTCAATTGACAATTTTATTATCTGTCACCCACAAGCGGTGCGCACAGCACAGGTAAAATGAGAAAGGTCCATTGAACCGCAAATAGAATCACAAGAATATCACAGAAAACCAGTCGCTTGTTTGCTGGTCTCAAAAGTGACGTCATTCGTTCTGATTGGTGTTTAACATAATATGGCGGACCTCCGTATTTTGTAGTTTTATTTTATCAAAATAATTATCAATCTGGCTCTTAATAGAAAAATAAATGCCTGTTTCGCTTTCCATGAGTCAAGTTTCATCAAATAAAAACATAATTCAACTGATTTTCAATAGGGAACAATCATATTTTTCAAATTATTTTTTTTCCTATTGCTTATGATTTCAAATATAAAATATAAATGTTTTTTCTGGTCCTCATTAGAATTTTAAAAAAATATTGAATTTCAAACAGGGCCGTAGCGATATGACTACCTCTAGGGGGGGGAGACTGAGATCGGGCGCCCCCTAAGCTCCGCAAAACCAGTTGAAAAATAGTTATTTATTATACAAAGGAAAAAAGTACTAGATTTTAGCGCGAGGTGTGGTTTGTCTAGACAACACAGCAAGCGCTAAAATCTTACTTTTTTTCCGTATATACACTATTTTTTCTGTGACGGGAAAATCTCATCATTTTCCATCTATACATCTTTTTTTTTCTGTGACCTTACTTATACTTTTTTTAATTTTAGAGGAAAAAGGATTTTACATTCATTTCTTAGATTTTCATAAATTTAAATTATCATTTGATACCAACTTTGAATTTAATCCATGATTGAAAATTCCTTAGAGCCGGGCAAAGTTGCAAAAAAGTCAGTTTTCAACTATGTATTAATATTTCCGAAACAGTTGAACTTAGGTCTAGGATTGGGTATATAGGCTAGTAAAACTAGGTGGGCAACCCTAAACAAATTCGCTACAAGCTGATTTTTGCGCCATTGTGTTCCTTTTAGTGTTTCCTATAAAGGGTTAAAAATCCCAAAAAATCCGATAGGGGACGCAACCCCAAAACCACCCCCAGAGGTGCATTTTTTAGGTTTGTACAAGGCACGTTTTTTGTAGAGTACAAAATTTCGAATCAAATGGTATACACATTAATTTGTATTATTTAAATAAGTTTTAGTGTTGATACAGGCCTTAGAATTCAATTTTGAATAATTCCTTCCTCATGATTGGTTTAGTTTGACGTTTTAAAATTCAATGTTTGAATATTTCCGATTCCTAATTGGCTTAAAAATTCAATTTTTCAATTTTTCCAGCTTCTGATTGGCCTAAAAATTCAATATTTGTAAATTCCCGGCTCTTGATTTGCTTTGAAATTCAATTTTCAAATATTCCCGGCTTTTGATTGGCTTAATTTGACGTTTTAAAATTCCATGTTCCAATACTTCCGGTTGGCGATTGGCTTAAAAATCAATTTTTTCAATTTTCCCGGATTCTGATTTTCTCAAAAATTCAATATTTCGGATTCCTAATTGGATCAAAAATTACATTTTTCAATTTTCCCGGCTTTTGATTGGTTATAGCAATAAATATTCCGAATTGTGAATAGGCACATGTCACTAGATAAGACCAATACAAATTTAAATCTTACTTTTTTATATTTTTATATCCTACTGAACTATTAAAACCATATAATACCTTGGTTACGATAATCATAAACAGGGTCTTAACTCCCAAGGGAGTTAAGGATTTTCATAACTCCCAAGGGAGTTAAGGAAGGGAGTTAAGGATATCATAACTCCCAAGGGAGTTAAGGATTTCCATAACTCCCGCTTTTACCTTGAATAGGTAACACTTTGACAAAAAATAGAAATTTTGATTTATGGCTTATTCCTTTATAAAAATAGACAGAATACAGTAAATTCAGTAGGATATAAAATTATCTATGTACCACGGGAATTATCAGGAGTTAATACCCACGGGCAATTGGTGTCCCTCGGGCCGGAGGCCCTCGGGACACAAACGTTGCCCTGGGGTATTAACACCTGCATAATTCCCTTGATACATAAATAACTATTATACTCTTATATATGGCAACTGTTTCGAAAATATTGACAGTTTAAAATTGACTCTTTTGCATCTTTGACAGACTGTAAAACCTAAACGGTTGATTTTACGGCAGATATTACATTCCTATATTAGATTTTCATAAGCTATCATTTGACACCAACTTTGAATTTAACCGGAGATTAATAATTTTAGCGGAATTTTCAATCATGGACTTAATTCAAAGTTGGAGTCAAAGGATAGTTTATGAAAAACTGAGATAAGAATGTAGGTATGATCGGTTTTGCTGTAAAATTAACCGTTCAGGTTTTACAGCCTGTCAAAGATGCAAAAAAGTCAATTTTCGACTGTCAATATTTCCGAGACAGTTGAAGATAGGTATATGACATTGTACCTTAAATATGTCTAGAATTTTCCGGAATCCAAAAATATCATAATATACAGGCGGAGTAATCTGAAAAATTATAACTTTGTCTCATCACTACTTATTGGGCCACCTTGTATACTGGAAAATAATTCCAGAATATACTACTCATATTTATCTACAAGTTTTGCATTTAGTTGATTCTTCGATCTCTGTTAGTACAGGAGATATAGAACACCACGCGCCTAATAACTCACCCTGTATATCTTAAACTTATTTAAATAATAAAGTATGTTTTATCGAAAAATTGCAAATTTTGTGATCCACAAAAAAGATTTCCTGCAAATTTTTCGAAATACTTATTGATTTTGAGAAAATTGCTAAAAACTTAAAAAATGTACTTTTGGGGGTTTTTTGGGATTTTTAGCCAGTTATTTAAAACCTTAAAAGAAACACAATGGCGCAAAAATTAGCTTGTAGCGAATTTGTTTGAGGTTCAGCTCAAAATAAGCCTAGTTTTACTAGCCTAATAGGGTTTATCACGAGATCTGTTCAGAATTTTACCACAGCATATACAAAAACAAACAGCAGGCTAAATCTCAGGCGCATTTCTTCTGCGCACGCCGCCATTTGAGGATACAAAGCTTGAGTACTTGAGTTAAGCACCTGATTGTTTTTGTATAATATGCTGTGATGCTATGATTTTACGTAGAATCCGAATATTCAATAATATACAGGGTATTCCATTTAAAATAAGTTGGACCACAACCAGCTTTTCTGAAACACCCTTTATATGCGAAAGTAAGTTTTAAAAAAAAATTTTTCAACTATAAAACCAAAACTTCTTTCTAAAATGTCAAAAAAGAAAGATAGAGGGGACATTTATAAACAATAACCTTGTACGTTAGAATGTCACTTAACGTCAGTTGAGTTGAGTTGGTGGCTGGGTTCGGTAATTGCATCTGCGAGCAAAAAGAACGACTTTTGACGGACGTCACGTGATCACTTATCCACCACTTATCTTTTTTCACGTGTCAAATCACGTGACTCCTGTCAAATTTTGCTCATTTTGATCGCAGACGTAATTCCCATTGCCGAATCAGCCGGTGATTTACCGAGTTTCCGTTGTCCCGTTTTGATGGAACTTTTGAACGGAGCGTGTTCGCAATAACTGGCGGGGCGTGTTCACATTATAATAGTTGTAAAATAGTATTTAATTACCTACTCGGAAACTTGCCTTTTGACTATTTTTTTTTTCCTTTTTTTTTCACTTTGTCTATTTTGGCGCCCCTGTGCCAGCTGCGCCCTGGGGGGAGGCTCCCCCGTCTCCCCCCCCTGTTGGCTACGCCCCTGATTTCAAATTATTTTCGTTGGCGCCAAAACGATTACCTTCAAGATGTCGGTACTTGTGACGTCAACTGTTTGTAAATATAACGTTAAGGTCTGTTCTCACAAGAGTCTCTGACAGTTTGCAAACTGTCAGAAAAAATCGCTCAGCTCGTACCTTCGGAAGTGGTTATTACGTTGGGTTTCCGTGTTTAGTGCCATATTGTGAGTATATTGTGACATTTTGTGTTTTGAATGGTTTATCATAGTTAATACAGGATTTACAAAAGCGCAGTTTGATAATATTCCCTCTATAGACCCATTTAAAGTGGTTTAATATCAGTCGCGCGGCATTTCGTGAGCTGATTGTGGATCAATCGTTCTTCACGACTCAAGAGTAAACCACGAAAGTGTGGACCACGTTTTTTATTCACCATCAGTATAAACTACCCTTAACCTTAGTTTACGAACAGTTGACGTCACCGGAAGCGGTCATTTTAAACATAGCTTTTCCGCGCGAAACTTTTTAATTTGAAACTAATAATTGCCGTATGGCTATAATATCGATAAATTTAATGCAGAACTGCTCATATTCAATATTTTACAGAAAAATGTGCAAAACATCAAAACAAAATAAGCCATATTTATTTCTCATGAGAATTCCCTATTACTGTCATCATGCCTATTCACTTACCTTTATCTAATAAAACGCGCCCAACTTCAACATAGCCACCGGAGGCGGCCTCCATTAAGGGCGTAAGCCCCGTTTTGGCGCGATGTTCCACATTGGCCTTCCTGTCGAGCAAAAGCGCGACAACCTCGTGCCTACCCTGAAAACAGGCAAGCGTCAGAGCCGTATTGCGATTGGTTTCGATCTGAGCATTTATGTCGCTGCCCATGTCCAGTAACAATTTAACGGCCGCCCCGTGACCGTTCATTGCAGCCAACATAAGAGGCGAAATACCTAACTTGGAACCTGTAAACAATAAATCTCTATAATAAAAACAAATATGCAAATTAATAATTCCTACCAGTTCTAGAATTAATTTCAGCTCCGCTAGTTAATAAAAGTTTGATAATGTTCACGTAGCCTCCTGATGCCGCCAAGCTCAATGGCGTGTAGTCAGAAACGTTCCGGTGCTCCTTATTAGCATTCCTGTTCAGCAAAAGTTCCACAACTTCGTAACGACCTCCGCTGCAAGCCAAACTCAGAGGGGTGTCCTTGGTGCGTTCTGATTGGGCCTCGATATCTGCATTGTGGTTTAGTAAAATTTCAACCACTTTTTCGTGTCCGGCAGTGGCCGCAAGTATCAGAGGAGTGAAGCCTTTTTTGTCACGATGCTCAATGTCAGCTCCGCGACTAATCAGCAATTCGACTAGTTCTTCATGACCTCCAGCACAGGCCAGAGTCAAAGCTGTATCGTGATTGCTGTCAGTTTCAGAGTCAACATCCATGCAAGGTGAAATAATTGAATTCGCTCCTGCGCATTGACGCTGTTGTTGCTGATTGGCCGCAGCCGCAGCTCCACTATATTGCGTAATAGCCGAATTGTGATCGATTTGGTAATTTTGTTCCTGCTGGAAAGTGTTATGGCTGTTAGTGCTAGGATGAGCTCTGATCACTCCTCTGTTCTTTTTGAATTTAATTTCAGATACTTTTTGAATTTTCTTTTCGATTCCATTGGCTTGGGCTTGCGTTTGGGTTGCCGCTTGCACTTGATTGCTGTTCTGATGTTGCTGTTGCGTCGTTATAATTTGGTGATGGTGAATCACGATTGGCTGCTGCGCGTTTTGTTGTTGGTGCTGATGTTGACCACAGGATTGACAGAGGAGGGTTCCTTGAGCCACGTGGCCGCAAGGGGCGACTTCTTGTTCCTGTTGTGGCGCAGCTACGCATTGTTGTGGTTGGGAAGCTACATAGGTTTGCTGTTGCTGAGCTGTGAGCGGCTGCTGCGCAACTGTACCAGCAACTGTTAGGGAATCTGTCAGAAAAATGTTTTATTTATGTATGTGGTTTTATTTTGAGTTTAGTGTGTGTACCTAGTTGTTGTTGTTTTAGGCTGTAGCCAGCTTGAAACCCTTGCAAATAGTGCTTGTAGGGGTAGAGTTCGTGCACAGGTACTTGGCCTGGAGTTCCAGGATTGCTAGTTTCGGCCGGTACCGCAAAGTATTCTACACGAGAAAGGTCAGCTACAAAAAAAGATTTTTTTTCTTGTTTGAACATTCAATTCAATATTGATTAATTATTACCAGTATTGCCTGTTGCAGCAGCTGCAGCTACCGCAGCGGCTTGAAGATCGGCTTGTTGGGCAGCTGTTAATGACGCAATCATGGTTTCATCTAAAGTGCCAGGGTAAGGTTGCACTTCTAACGTTTGCACAACGTCATCAGAAAAATCTTTGTCGGTCAATTCTAGTTTGGTTACCTTGCTGGGCGAATTTAGGTTTAGCTGCGATGGACTAGCGGGATCGTACATTTCGAGGTGAGTTTTTTGCTAATTTTGATAAATGTTTAATAACGCTGTACTGATTTAAAATTTTTAAACTCACAGGTGATCCAACAGAGGCCGCTCGTATAAATGGAATCGAAGAGTTGTGAAACTGTTGTAAAATTGAAGCGGTAAGAAGACTCTCTTGTTGGTCATCTTTAAGGAACGTTACGTCCAAATCTGGCACGTTGAGTAGTTCAGAAGGGCTATCTTCCAACTGAAATGAAAACTCTATTTCAGCCACGAATAATTCTCATTAATTATTAGTTAAGTGCAGAAAAAAAAAAGTTCCTTTAGTGCATCCATTATACTCAAACGACCACAACAACACCAGTTTACCTTTTGAAATTGCACTTGAGGTTGGGACGCTTGTCCACCACCGGCTCTTTGTTGCTGTTGCTGACTGGGTTGCTGAGGCATTTGCAGCTGGCGAAACACAGACACCTTTAAAAAATAAAGTCGTTGCTTGCCTTCAAAGCAGTTTGCACCCACACACACTTTTATTTTTACTGCAATAGGAACATTATAACTAGAAACGTAAGAATTACCTGTTGGTCAGCAAATATATTGAAGGTTTTAGGTGGTGTAGGACTAATTTGCTGTTGCGACTGATTGACGATTTGAGATGTTTGCTGTTGCTGCTGGGCTTGTTGCTGAGCAAGCTGTTGTTTTCTAATATTTTTCCCATCCTTTTTGATTGGTTTCACTTTGGGCCGGTCATTGATTGCGGTATTCTATTTATTTATTAAACATTTTCACACATTACTAGTAAAATAAGACTAATGACTCACCTGACTAACTTCCGCCACACTCTGAAATTTAATAGGTTGCGAGGTGAGCGCGGAGGCGGGCACCAATGTGCCCAATCCGGGAGCGGCGGGGGCTGGTCCTAGTCCCCCATTGGCCACTGTCGGAGTCGCTCCGCCCACTTGGGTGGAGCTGGCTGGCAACGGAGTGAAGTAAAATGGGGGGGTGGGTGTTGGCTGGGGCTGCGTTTCACTCGGAGGCGTGGTAAATTTGGGTGGGGAGCACGGGGTCAGAGTAGCTCCTATCCCACCGTAGAATGGACCTTGCAGTAGGGTTTGTGGCGATGCGCCCACTACACTATTGTAACCTAAACCTGAAAGAATTATACGATTGTGTAGGTAAATGATTTTGATTTGAGTATTTTGGATTATACAGTAGGTCTGTTTCAATATGTCAAGAACCGTCCCATGAACGGTTTCGAAATCACTAGTGAACAAATTTTGGTTTCTACACACAAATTTTTACGCTTAAAGCTTACTTTTCATGCATCCATTTTTCCGCAAGTCCGTAGTCCGTTGATCCGGGAGTATTCCTATTGGTCCTAGGAATACTTCCGGATCAACGGAAAAACGGATGTATGAAAAGTACGTTTTACACAAAATCGTGGCACTACATTGTACGGTTTCTTGCTGTGTTTGTGTTAAAATAGACCTTAGTATTGAAAGTAAACAGTGTCAGTAAATACATCGTTATAAAAATATTGTAAAAAATATGATACAACACTATGATACAATACATTAGGCGGACCTCAGATAAATCTATAGGCAAAATGCTCATCTATGATATGAAATGACAATGGTAATAAGAGATTCCAAACTCTTCTCCTGGGACTTGATTCTCGTCTCAGGAAATAGCCCCAAGAGAACAAATTTTTTGTCTTTATCATTTCGATTATGTTGACGAGGACAAAATATTCGTTCTACTCCCTGAGACGAGAATTCGGCTCCTGAACAACAAACAGTTGTTCTACCTACCTGAAGACACAATTCACCCTGTTAGTTACCTAATAACACATATTTGTTTACATTGAAAAAAACTGTCAACGATTCAGACAAAACTTAGACATTCACAGCAAATTACCCAAAAACGTATAAAGTTAAGTTCCTTTGAGAAGCAGAATACAAGAGGTTATGGGCCCAGGCAGTTTCCAGAGCTTTTAATAAAAGTCAAGTTAAAGGTATACTCTCTACACAAAAAGTTCATCTTTCAACGCTAATATCTCAAAGACTGTAATACCTACAAGATTTCGATTTCGTATCGTTCAAAAATCGTTAAGAATTGAATCCTTTACAACATATCAAAAAATGGGCAAAATCCATAGAGCGCAAAAATGTCATGTTAGCCGTGCGTTATTCTTTAGAAATATATTAAATTTGGTGCCGGTACTTTTGCTCTCATTTGACAGCCATTAAAATAATCAGGGCTTTGAATGTGCTCTAACCACATCATACTTATATAGACCTTGGCCCATGCAAAATTTTGACAATGTATCAAATTCGTTAATCGAGAGCAAAAGTATCGGCCCTAAGGATTTTTATGAGGGGTGATTGTTAAAGTTATTTATAAAACGTACGCCTGCAGAATGCAGATTGTTTAGAAATGTATTGTTGACAGTTAAGTTTGTACATACACTAAAGCCGGTCACTCACGTTCTGGTAGACTTGTACAGGAATATCGCAACGTGTATGTGAGCCAACCTGCGCAGTGCCAACGACCTGTGCAGACGACTGGGAAAATCGCTGCCGACTAGCTTGCCCAGTTATACAGTTTTCTACATGAAAGCACATGTTTTCCAAGGAATCTTAAAGTTGCAACTAATCTCTGTTGTACCGAAATACAATTTTTCATGACCGTGTCCTTGTTTATAATAAAAAAACTGACCAGAAAGCAATTTTAAGTATGTTCCCTTGTCCATTCGTAGATAGTTCTGGAAATCCTTGGGTTCAAATTCCTACTAGTTTATTAAATTAATATGACTGTAACTTTTTCGCTTCAGCAATTAATCTTTGCACCATTTTCTTACACTTCTTACAGTTAGTTAAAACTAATAATAGGCCTAGGACTGTCAATTTGTCGTCCTCTGTCGGTGTTATGGAGTTAGACTGAGAAAAACTAGAATTTCACCATAGCATGTGTGGCTTTTCAGGTTTCCAGTCCAGTATACCTGGACAGTTTTACTTGCACAGGTCTACTTCTCAGGTTTAACGGAACGTGAATGGCTGGCTTAAAAAATCCTTGAAGATAGATAAACAAGTTTGTTTAAAATAAAGTAAAGGATATTTGAAAAAACTACATGGTGTAATTCCTTTGAGAAGCAGAATACAAAAAAATGAAAGAGTTCAAGGATTTTTGGACATTTGAAGAGTAATAATAATAACAAAAGCTTTTATTGATTATTAAATTGTACCTTGTTGTTTCTGTTGTATTCCCAAATCGAAATGGATGACTGGCGAATGTATGACTGGAGCGAGCGCAGTCGGTTGGGTGGTGGCGCCACCGGGCTGCGGTACGCACTGGTCTTGCGCTGGCATTTGATACTGGAACACGTGTTTAAAGTTCGCGGCGGCTGCGGCAGCAGCGGCCGCTGCGGCTTGTTGTTGCGCTTGCTGCGCCTGTTGCTGTTTACCTTGCAATTCACGTTCCACTCGCTAAAGATTTTAAAAAAAATGTATTGTAATAATTATCATTATTGATAATTCTTACATGTAGCTCTTCTAAAATTTGTTGTTTTTGCGTATTGCCATCTGGGTCGCTAAGTTGTTTTCTTTTCTTAATAAATTCTATCAGGGTACTATTATTTGGATCTTCTTTGTTGAGGAATTCCATGGCAGCTGTTGCCTCCTCTTCAAAGTCACTTAAGGGCGGGGTCCGTACTTGTTGCGCCTCCGCGGACGTCAACGTTGCTAGATCAATAAAGGGAAAATAGCCCGATAAAAAACATCCGGATTAATAAAATTAAAAAATAGTTACCATCAAACATCGCTCCCATGGACCGGCTTTTGGCCAACAGCTTTCTACCTTTTTGCTGTTGCGCCTGTTCGTTGGTTCGCGCTTTTGATCGGGGCGGATTGAATTCCATCGAGCTGTCGGAATCTTCTTGCTGTACGATTCGGACTGCTTCGGGGACTTCTTGGAGAACGGCTAAAGGAAAAATACCAATCAATTTATTCATATTGTCGACTTTGATCTCAACTATAATATAAATTTTTGGTTTTCTTTTCATTAACAACTTCTGACAAGAAATAATGTCAAAAACAAAAACAATAATCAATCAACTGTCACTACTTGAGGTGTGTTCAAAAATAACATTGATTGACTGCTGCATTTTAGCCAAAGACAGTCACAGATTATGCACTTTTTGTATTATTTCTGAACACATCCTTGACACTTATTTCTCATGTCATTATTAAAAAGCGGCAAATTTAAATATGTATCAGGAATACATCTTGCAAACTAAATTCAGATACAAAATAAAACTCATGCCAAAACCAACGTGTGATTTTTATTAGCAATCGAACAACAAAATTTCATAAATAATTCTTTACCAGTTGGAGGTTGGAAAAAGGGGCCACCAGCAGCAAGAGCGGGTGCCATCGCTGCGGCGGCAGGGGAACTTCGATTGCCTCCCACTTGTCCGGGTAACATGGACAAATTAGTGGCTGCGGTGGCGGGGTTTGTCACACCTGGAGGTCCTTGTTGCGCCTGACTGTTGAGCAACATGGACCGAGGATAATCCAGTAACAACTGGACTACATTAGTATGACCACCTTTGGACGCTTCAATCAACATCGTCGAATTATCCTGCAAAGCAAAAATCGTCGTCTAATGTTAATATATTAATTCTTATTACAGTTACGAAGCAGTTAACGAAATATCACCTTTAATTTGTGGTTGGGATCCGCGTTGTTTTCTAATAGGAGTTGGACTACAGGCAAGTGACCTCCGGCACAAGCCAGAGACAGTGGAGTGTGGTCGTTGTTGCTGGTTTGTTTGCGTACATTTGCCCCTTTGTCTATAAGGAATTTTACTGTGCAAAGGTGGCCGGCGCGACAGGCTTTCATCAGCGGTGTTCTGCCTCCTTCAGACTCGTGTTCAATATTGGCTCCATACTATAATCAATGTTATTATTATTATGGTAAAATTTTAACTGATGATATCATCATATGGTGATTAAGGCGAAAACACATTTAAAAATTCCACCTAAACAAATACAAAAAATAACTAATATATTTTTTTTTAACTGCCAATTATGAGGAAATAAATAACTTCATCAGACTCCAACCGACAAGACAAGTAGATCAACAATTCGAGAACTCCCAGTATGTTATGAGAGATGCAGTAGAGAAATACATACATACATACCGGTCAAGCCAGTAAAAACTAACCGACAAAAACCGTGGATAACCATTATTTATTCAGAGAAATAGATAGGAAACGTAAATAAAATAATTAAAACACTAAACAATGGGGTACTTGTATGAAAAATTAAATTGATTATTGTTTATTGCAAATGATTATTCTGGAAGCTATACAAATATTAAATTTTGTACAGGGTGTCCCACTAAGGTCGGCCAGGTACGATATTATGGAGACCATAGACTTCACGTAACTTGAAAACGAATGCAGATATTGAATTGCGGTTTGCGCCAAAATGTAGATATTTTTTTGCTCTTTAAGCACAGCAATACAAAAATAATATTATGCCATTTGGATTTTTCATGAAAATTAGGAAAAACTGGATCTTGAATAAACAGCGCCCTCTAGCAGACGCGGTGGGAACTATCGATCTCGGACGAAGTGGTGTTCTTAATAACAATGAAATTCTCTTTCAAATAAACCCAAATTGAATGAGTTTGAATGAGGGGTATGGAAGATACAGCAATTTCCAAAAAAAAAAAATCACCAGCTTCCCCCACCCTTATTACTGAAGATACGAAAAAAAGCCTAATAATCAAACTGGCGCAAAAATTAATGGACTTTTGATTTCTGTTGTTAAAACAGTATCTTAATATAGCGATTTCTTGAGAAAAGTTGAATTTTTAGCTATATCATCGTAATTGCGCCCCCTAGCGGTCATCCTAGAAACTTGAAAATAATTTCCATCAATTTTTCTTGGCCGATTTGGTGGAGAAAAAAAAAATCCCGAAGCCGTAAGGTCTATGGTTTCCATAATATCGTACCTGGCCGACCTTAGTGGGAAACCTGGTGTATACAGGGTGTCAATTTGAAAACTTCCCACCCCTATTATCTTGGAGTAGAAAAATCCCTGAAACACCTCAACTATAATTTGAGGGGGGATTAGTTTTTATGCAAAATTCACCTCCCCTCAACCCCCAGAGTCACCCCCTAGAAAATTTTAAATAGGAAGGGGGATCGAGTGATACATCATTTTAGAGGGTTTTTGATTCCATACATTTTGGTACAAAATTTTACTCCCTAAGTTCAACTGTTTTGGAAATATTGACAGATGAAAATTCGCAGCAACTTCGAATTTAATCCACGATCAAAAATTCCGGTTGAAAATTTAATCTCCGGTTAAATTCAAAAATGGTGTCAAATGTGAGTTTATGAAAATCTAAGATAAAAATGTAAGATCGGTTTTCCTCTAAAATTAACCTTTTAGGTTTTACAGCCTGTCAAAGTAGCAAAAAAGTCAATTTTCAACTGCCAATATTTCCAAAACAGTTGAACTTAGGGACTACAATTTAGCACCAAAATGTATAGAATTAAAAACCCTAGAAAATGATGTATAACTCGACCACCCTTCTCATTTAAAATTTTCTAGGGGGTGGCTCTGGGGGGTTGAAAGTGGGAAGGTGAATTTTGCATAAAAACTCATCCTCCTTCAAATTATAGTTAACGTGCTTCAGGGATGTTTTCGAAAATGTTTCTACTCCGAGATAATAGAGGTGGGAAGTTTTCAAATTGACACCCTGTATAAATAATTGAACATGTGCGACGTCATCAATTTATATGATAAGTGACGTCATAGTCAAATTTCATAGCGTTGCATCTCCTTCAATTTTTGACTGAGAATAAGAAAAAAACACGTGTTAACTTATTTTTTATCGACTAACAAAATCAGCGATAAAAAAATTGATGCAACTACCCAGATGTAACAAAACTAAGCAGAAGTTGCTTGATGTCCTGTATCTGAGCGGTTTTTGGATGGTGAAGCCATAACAGGGAAATTTCCAGAGCAATTTGACACAGCTTTTACAACTGAAGCTTATCCAGCTCTAGCCCTACATGACAATAGAGTGGAGAGGTCTATCGAAGAAATACAATTTACAACTGATAAAGTAGAACCAGCTCTAACATGTATGAAAAAAGACTCAAGCCCAAAACCTGATGAAATTCCAACAGTTTTTCTTCAGAACTGTAGTGCCACAAAGGAACTAATATCTTTCTTTCTAGAGAACAATCTCTTACCTTCAGCCCAACATGGATTTCTACCAAAACGTTCTACAACTACCAATCTTTTGAAATGTCTAAATGATTGGACAAACAACCGTGACAATGTCCTACCAACAGATGTTATCTATCTAAATTATGAAAAAGCATTTAACAAAGTCCCACATAACCTGTTATTAGTGAAATTAGAGCATTTTGGAGTTAGAGGAAAGTTGCTTGCCTTGATCAAGGATCTGCTAGGAGATAGATTTTTTTAAGTGGGAGTTAATGGAGAACTTTCCAGTTCCCATAGGGTAACCAGTGGCGTCGTGCAGGGTTCAGTGATCGGTTCGGTCCGGTGCTGTCCACAGTATATCTTTTTGATTTGGTGAAACTAATCCAATCAAGTGTTAAATTATTTGCAGATAATTGCAAAATCTATGTTAATCCTTTGATAGATGCGAATTTACTTCAAACTGTTCTTAGGAACATTGAAAAGTGGTCAAAAACATGGGGAATGAAATTAAACTCCTTAAAGTACGAAGGATTGGCCCAAATAACCCTAACAAAGACTATATTCTTAATGACTCTGTTTTGCATAATCTGGGAGTTGTAGTAACAACCGACTTGAAGTGGAAGAATCACATAATTGAAATAACTAAAAAAGCTAACTCCTACATATACTTAATTAACCATGCCTTTAGAGACTACTCCATCAAGATGATTTCATCCTTTACAAAAGCTATATACCTAAGGCCAAAAATAGAATACGCTTATACTTTGTGGAATCCATATTACATTAAGGATATAGAACTTCTTGAGAAGATTCAGCGCAGAGTGACAAAAATTCCCCCACAGTTGAAACAGTTGCCATATCCAGAAAGATTACTCAATTTCAATTTCAGATCTCTTAAAGAAAAAAAACACAGAAGCGATTTAATTGAAAACGACAAAATAACCAGTGATTTCTATCAGTGTAATCTGATAAATATTTTCCATCCATGTCGAAATCCTTATATTCGTGGCTACTCTAAGAAGCTTGAAAAGGAAAGAACATCAAAACTACCTAGGAAAAACTTTACAGCAAACCGCGTAGTGCATTCTTGGAATTTGCTTTGCCAAAATACAGTCTCACCACCAAATACTAATATTTTTAAAAATCGTGTTGACAGAGAATTGGAAGAATACTCAAAAAGAATAATTCATTATGGTGCATAAACCTAATCTCATATATCCTTTTTTAAAGTAACAATAGCTTCATCGGTTTCGACCGCCTGCTATTGTTATTCTAATAATAATAAATAATAATAATAATTATTATTACCTGTATGAGTAAATCGGCAACGTCAGTGTGTCCATTTTCACAGGCGTACGTCAAGGCAGTGTCGTTCGTCTGCGTAATAGCATTCACATTGGCCCCATACTCCAACAAAAACCTGACCAATTCTAAATGACCTTCCTGAGAAGCTTCCATCAGAGGTGTAGATGCGCCTAATTCTATATCAGCTCCGCCCTTTAGCAGTATATCTGCGACCTCAGTGAAACCACCACAACACGCTAATGTTAAGGCAGTTTCCTGAGTTTCATCAGTTTGGGCATTGATGTTGGCTCCCTGACCGAGAAGCAGGTGCACCATTTCCTCGTGACCTTCACGCGCCGCCTCCATTAGAGGCGTGTAGCCTTCATCGTTGACTTCTTCTATGTTGGCGCCGCGTTCTATGAGCAACATTGCAAGGTCCACGTGTCCACCGCAGGCGGCCAGGGTCAGCGGCGACTCGAAACTATCCGTAGGCATATTCACCTTGTTCGAAAAAGAACACTTAAAATAGTGTTTATTAAATAATTAGAAGCTTGCAAATAAATACCTGCGCCCCGGAATCTAACAGCAACCTGGCAACCTCCACATGCCCATCCATAGAAGCTTCCATTAAAGCTGTATGCATCTCGTCTGTTTTGTGTTCTTGATCAGCGCCAGCCTCCAAAAGAAATCTAACCATATCTAGGTGACCTATTTTGATTTGTAATTACATTAGCTTGCAATTAATCGACTAAAAATCAAGTTATATACCTTTATAGCAAGCCAACGTCAGAGCGGACTCTTTAAATTCATTAGAGTGCGTATTAATTCCTGCACCGTGCATCAAAAGAATTTTAGCTAGTCCCACATGACCGGCGCTGGCCGCTTCCATCAAAGGCGTGTGACCGTTTTCGTTGTGATCCTCCACATTTGCCCCATTTTCCAAGAGGAACTTCACCACGTCAGTGTGACCGCCCGCGCAGGCGTACATCAAAGGCGTGTTGCCCGAAGTGGATTGGGCGTTAACTTCCGCACCGTGATGGACCAGCAGCCTTACGATGTCCAAGTGGCCCGCCGACGCGGCTTCCATTAACGGGGTGCATTCACCTTTTATACCTCGGTCTTCTACGTTGGCATGCATTGCTAATAAAACCTGGGGAAGGATTTTGCTTGTCATAATTTTTGTTGGGAAAAGGAAAAAGTATGCTTTGGTTTCCAGAGTGTGTGGTATAATTAATCAATCAAACAGTATTTGCTTTATTAATGGAAGAACAAAAAAATTTATTCACAGATATACAATTATACAGTGTTCAGGTGTATAAAGTCTGGAATACAATGAATATTTAAAATTATGAAAAATCCCTCTAAAAAGACAATAAAAAAATGTCCTTTGAGACACAGATTTTGGCTCCAAGCTACACAAATGAGATGTACATTGAATCAGAAGTCTAGGATCTTTATAGTGAACAAAGTACAAATATCTGTTTAACTTCATTTTATACTTCATCGCCAATATAAAAAATTTTAACAGCTTTATCTTCAACATACATCATCATTATGCTTTACCAGCTCTCAAAGTCTCCAATCTTTAAAGTTCTCCTCTTTATATTTCATCTTTGAACATTGTCATCGTTGTGATTTTTTTATTTGTACAACTCAAGATGTTTCTTATCTTCAATTCAATTACTGAAGTAAATATTCACACATACGACTTGAAGTTGGGAAATGACACATTTTCATATCCAATTCGTACGTCAATGTGGAGAAAATTAAGGTCAATATCCACCTTTTCTTTGAAACTCTGTATTTTTGAAAATATTGAAGCGTATAAAAAATGAAAATGTTCGGAAAAGATTAGGCTACAATTTTGTATTGAAAACTGTCCTGAATTTCTAGTGGTTCACTCCACAAGGTGTCTCAAAAACCTCTGAAAATAATTGACTTTTTTTCCATCCCTATACATGATATAACTACAAATCATTTAATAATGGTAATACGCCAGATTTATTCTTGAAGAATCAAGCTACAAGCTACAAAAAATTATCGAAATCGAGCGGAGGGTTCAACAGAAAATTGATGTCAAACTTAGTGTAAATTTTGTCCGTTCTTCTAATTTTACCTCAGAGGATATATACCTAAGTGAAGAGTACTATTAATCCCCAAACTCTCTATTATGGTTGAATATAGTAGTATATGAATTATTGTAAAATAAAACTGCAATTTAAATAAATTAATGTTTCATGTATGCTAACTTTGGCAAATAATAAAATGGGATCGAATCAAGGAGATTTTAAGGTCAAATTAGGTTTGATGTATTCTAATAAGATGAATAGAAAATAGACTAGCCAATGTAAGTTTCTATAAATATTAATATCAATAGAGAATAGACAAGTATATCTAAACATACCTGAGCTAATTCAAAATATCCAGCGCTACAAGCTAAGCTAAGCAGACTTTCTCCTTCTTCGCTAGTTTCATGCACAGATCTGCCTTCAGTCAGCAATTTTTTCACAGTGCCCACATCACCATCGGTGCAGGCCTCCACCAAAGAAGTCTTTTCTTGGGAACCTTGAGGTGACTGAACCACAGCGGCTCCCCCTTGCGTAGCTGGTCTTGTCGCTGTATTACTATTAGAGGCACCTAAATAATAATAATTAATCAAAGTAAGCAAAATTTACTTAGATTAATCAATTACCTTGTGTTGACGAAGTAGCTGCGGCGCTATCACTTCGCATTCGTGTCAGAGCTGCTGCTGCTTCGTCTAGTGCGCAGGAAACACTTGAAGTGAGACGACGCAAAACTTCTGGGTCCCCTAATGCCTTGCCGTCCTTTGCTGATAACTGACCAATACCTAAAAAATAATAAAATTTATATTAAATAATAGTCAGGATTTCTGGAAATGTTTAACAAACCTGCAGCTTGCAAAAGGGCTTCAAGGCGAGCTTGAGTTTCGGGGTCCACGTTACGATCTTCGTCGGGGCCCAGCAAGAATTTTGCAGCTTCTGCTTGGGGCTCGTCTTCGAACTCCTGCTCTACCATAAATGACTCCACCTGGAATCAACATAAATTATGTCATTATGGAATTTTTCAATCCTAAACCAATAGAGGTCATGATTTACATTAAGGCTTCAGTTATTTGTTGCTTAGAAAGCCAAATAATAAATTTTAGACGGATCTAATGACCACCATTTAATTGTAATAGTTCACGCTTTCTTCTGTGAAAAAATACTGAACATTTCTTAGATAATAAATAGTTCCACTACAAGATAAGACAATATTTTTAAATTTTGACTTGCATCCAATATACAATCAATAAAAATTGAAAACCTGATATTTTTTTAATAATTTGGGTATGAAATTGAAATCTAATGCTGGTTTTCCACCAAACCGACAAAACTCTAACTTTTCCCAAACATTTTCAAGATTAGCGTGTTTTGCGACAGTTGGAGTTTTGTTTTTCGGGTTAATTTCGAGTTTTAAAACACAAACTCAACAGTCCGTTTGGTGGAAAACCGGCATAAGCCTAGAGAAACTTACTCTTGTTTTTTGAACAAAATATTTATTACAGGCGCTCATCACAAACGTGGTTCCTTGTCATTTATAAGTCGAACGAATAATTTGGAAAATTTTTACCTAGACTACACCAAAACGGAAAGGTTTAATATACCCCCGTTTAACTTTAATAAATTTTACCTGAATTTCGCAGAAAACCGAAAGTCTTTAAAGATTAGGCTGAATGCATTTTTCCATGAGAATTGTTACTTATTACAAATGCCTAATGGCCCTCAATATGCATAAAGTAAATTAGTGTGGTTCAGTGACCTCAAACAAAATTCTCAAGATGATTTATTTTTTTTGAATTATTAGGCCATAATTCCTAAAAGTGATGATTCATGTTTATCAGAAAACACCTGTGTCTAAACTATTTCAGGTAAAGTAGCATAGTGCGTAAAAATATTGGCACTTTGATGGGAATTTCATTTAGATTTCAACAATCCAAAGTAAGTCTCTCTTGTGCAGATTCAATTTCCTGGGGTGTTACTACACAGAAGCGTAGTTTACTATAGAGGAATTAAAGAATAAAAACAAAACCGGAAACGTTAACTATTGGTGTCCGCTAATGGAATCCGAATCAGCATTTTTATCTTCAGCGGCGGAACGATTTGCTTTTCGATCGATGGGTCTTTCAAAATTAAACAGAGAATATTGTTTTGTTATTGTTGCTGACTGCATACTAATTAGTATTTTTGATAGATAAAGATTACTAATTGCTTAATTATTATTGATACTTAAACTTTTGCAACCAACCTCGAACAAAAAACTGATTCAATGTAAATGTTCCAAATTTGTGAATCTCTAGATGTTTAAAACATTGCATTTTTGATAAAAGTATCCTGATAATTGATTCCAAAACATTGATAAATCCTGAAAATTCCAAAACAACAATAGAAGCTAGCTAGCCCAGAGCCAGGATCATACACCATTGAAAATCTATGTAAATTTTTATGGGAATTAGAGAAAATCAATAGAATAGAAATTACATCGGAATCAATGGAAATCATCACAGTAAAATAAACTAAATTATTTATTTATTTATTTACAAACTCAACAGATTACATCCACTTATAGAAAAGGAAAAAACTGGAAAAAACTAAACTAAACTGAACCATACAATCTTCATTCATTAACCCTCTGCAAAAATATCACACTTGTTTCTTACTTCATTATACAGCCTGCATGTCGCTATAATGGGAGAATTGTAATGGTAATTTGTTCTTACATTGTTTAAAATGTTAGTAAGTCCCTTGTCCTATAGGATGGTAAACAAAAATTTAGTTGACTTAACAAACCTGGATCACAAACCAACCCATGCAGCTTTTCAATGCATATCCAAAAATCCAATGTTGAGAGAGTCCATGACCTCTTGCTTAGCTATATGTAACACATATATCCCCGTTTTCTTATAGAAATTTACTCTGAATTTTTTCTATTTTGTATTTATGATGACTATAGACTATAGTATGGGTTCCATATAACTGAACAATACTCTAAAATGCTCCTTACATAGAATACATATAATATTCTGATACACTCTACATTGCGAAACAGGGAGACATGGTCCAAATACACTTGAATGATGAGAACTTGGAACAGGTAAGTTGGCAGCTAGCCAAATGTTAGGACCCATCCATCCAACTGGACTTGGATAAATATGTGTGATACAATCCAAGTATTGTCCAAGGGTACTTGATACAAGTACATTTTAACCATGTTAACCTGGTTTTATCCAAGTCCAGTTGGATAGATTCTAACATATAGACTGGCTGCCAACTTAAATTTTCATTTATTGGTTTTGAATTTTTTGAAAATCATGACAAGGCTAAGAGAAATTGCCAATATTTTTAATAAAATTTGAATAAATCAAACTAAAATATACTATTCGAAAATTTTAATCATAAAAAGTAGGTAGGTACTAAAACAATGAATTTTCAATTTTTTTTTTTTTGTTCTGATTTTGTGTTTTAATGGTCCTTTCAGATCCCCCAAACTTCATACACTAAATTATTCTCAGATTTGAAGCCGAAATCTATGAAAAAACGCACTCAGAAAAATTGAAAAATTGATAAATCTCCCCAAATTGCTTAACACAATTTTTTCTCAGGAACTATAAGTGCAAATGAGCTGAAATTTTCAGGGATTGTAGTCCTTTGAAAGGGATGAAACTCAGTGAAAGTTTCAGCTTTCTATCTATAATAGAAAAAAAGTTATGACCTTTCAAAGTTTTCCAAAAAAATCATAAGGGGGGTACCTTCCTACTAAAACGATGAAATTTCAATTTTTTTTTTGTCAAGATTTTGTATCCTAATGGTCAATCAACATAGCCCAAACTCCATACACTAAATTTTTCTCAGATTTGAAGCCGAAATCTATGAAAAAAGGCACTCACAAAAATTGAAAAACTGATAAATCACCCCAAATTGCTTAACACGATTTTATCTCAGGAACTATAAGTGCAAATGAGCTGAAATTTTCAGGGATTGTAGTCCTTTGAAAAGGATAAAATTCAGTGAAAGTTTCAGCTTTCTATCTATAATAGAAAAAAAGTTATGACCTTTCAAAGTTTTCCAAAAAAATCATAAGGGGGGTACCTTCCTACTAAAACGATGAAATTTCAATTTTTTTTTTGTCGAGATTTTGCATCCTAATGGTCAATCAACATAGCCCAAACTCCATACACTAAATTTTTCTCAGATTTGAAGCCGAAATCTATGAAAAAAGGCACTCACAAAAATTGAAAAACTGATAAATCACCCCAAATTGCTTAACACGATTTTATCTCAGGAACTATAAGTGCAAATGAGCTGAAATTTTCAGGGATTGTAGTCCTTTGAAAAGGATAAAATTCAGTGAAAGTTTCAGCTTTCTATCTATAATAGAAAAAAAGTTATGACCTTTCAAAGTTTTCCAAAAAAATCATAAGGGGGGTACCTTCCTACTAAAACGATGAAATTTCAATTTTTTTTTTGTCGAGATTTTGCATCCTAATGGTCAATCAACATAGCCCAAACTCCATACACTAAATTTTTCTCAGATTTGAAGCCGAAATCTATGAAAAAAGGCACTCACAAAAATTGAAAAACTGATAAATCACCCCAAATTGCTTAACACGATTTTATCTCAGGAACTATAAGTGCAAATGAGCTGAAATTTTCAGGGATTGTAGTCCTTTGAAAAGGATAAAATTCAGTGAAAGTTTCAGCTTTCTATCTATAATAGAAAAAAAGTTATGACCTTTCAAAGTTTTCCAAAAAAATCATAAGGGGGGTACCTTCCTACTAAAACGATGAAATTTCAATTTTTTTTTTGTCAAGATTTTGTATCCTAATGGTCAATCAACATAGCCCAAACTCCATACACTAAATTATTCTCAGATTTGAAGCCGAAATCTATGAAAAAAGGCACTCATAAAAATTGAAAAACTGATAAATCACCCCAAATTGCTTATCTCAGGAACTATAAGTGCAAATGAGCTGAAATTTTCAGGGATTGTAGTCCTTTGAAAAGGATAAAATTCAGTGAAAGTTTCAGCTTTCTATCTATAATAGAAAAAAAGTTATGACCTTTCAAAGTTTTCCAAAAAAATCATAAGGGGGGTACCTTCCTACTAAAACGATGAAATTTCAATTTTTTTTTTTTCGAGATTTTGTATCCTAATGGTCAATCAACATAGCCCAAACTCCATACACTAAATTTTTCTCAGATTTGAAGCCGAAATCTATGAAAAAAGGCACTCACAAAAATTGAAAAACTGATAAATCACCCCAAATTGCTTAACACGATTTTATCTCAGGAACTATAAGTGCAAATGAGCTGAAATTTTCAGGGATTGTAGTCCTTTGAAAAGGATAAAATTCAGTGAAAGTTTCAGCTTTCTATCTATAATAGAAAAAAAGTTATGACCTTTCAAAGTTTTCCAAAAAAATCATAAGGGGGGTACCTTCCTACTAAAACGATGAAATTTCAATTTTTTTTTTGTCGAGATTTTGCATCCTAATGGTCAATCAACATAGCCCAAACTCCATACACTAAATTTTTCTCAGATTTGAAGCCGAAATCTATGAAAAAAGGCACTCACAAAAATTGAAAAACTGATAAATCACCCCAAATTGCTTAACACGATTTTATCTCAGGAACTATAAGTGCAAATGAGCTGAAATTTTCAGGGATTGTAGTCCTTTGAAAAGGATAAAATTCAGTGAAAGTTTCAGCTTTCTATCTATAATAGAAAAAAAGTTATGACCTTTCAAAGTTTTCCAAAAAAATCATAAGGGGGGTACCTTCCTACTAAAACGATGAAATTTCAATTTTTTTTTTGTCAAGATTTTGTATCCTAATGGTCAATCAACATAGCCCAAACTCCATACACTAAATTATTCTCAGATTTGAAGCCGAAATCTATGAAAAAAGGCACTCATAAAAATTGAAAAACTGATAAATCACCCCAAATTGCTTATCTCAGGAACTATAAGTGCAAATGAGCTGAAATTTTC